AAGTGTAAGCAATGGGATAACCCATTGGGCATGCTTTCCTGTCCCATAATGAACTGGGTTCCAAAAGCAAGTCTCAGCTAACCTGAAGTCGGGGCTTAAAGGAGAGTTATATGGGCCCTCTGGCCCTATGTGTATGCTGTCTGATGGTGGGCAAATTACTCAACTTCTCAAGATGTCATTTACTCATCTGTGAAGAGAGTTTATAAAGGTACTCTACACTAGGTTCCAGTGAAGGCTAGTGGCTGACACAAAGGCTCAATAAATGATATTATTAAGAATGATCTAGTCTATACTATCATAATGAAAATATGGTACTAGCATAAAGATAGACACACAGACCAAAGGAACAGAACAGACAGCCCAAAAATAAACTCACAGATACATGGTCAACTAATCTTTCACAAGGGTGCCAAGTACACACAATGGTAAAAGGATAAGCTCTTCAATAAATGGTGTTGGAAAAATGGATATCCACATGAGGAAGGATAAAACTGGACCACCTTCTTACACCATATACAAAATTAACTCAAATGGATTAAAGACTTAAAAATAAGGTCCAAAGCTGTAAAACTCCTAGGAGAAAATATAATGGAAAATCTCCTTGACATTGGTCTTGGCGACTGACATTTTGGATATGACATCAAAATCACAAGCAACAAAAACAAGTGGTACTATATCAAATTAAAAAGCTTCTGTACAGCAAAGAAAACAATCAACAAATTAAAAGACAAGCTATGGAATGGGAGACAATACCTGTAAATTACCCATTTGACAAAGGGTTACTCTCTAAAATATATAAAGAAGTCATACAATAGCAAAAAGAAAGCAACCCAATTAAAAAATGGGCAAATGAGTTGAACATTTTTCCACAGACATAAAAATGACCAACAGGTACATGAAAAAGTGCTCAACTAATCATCAGGGAAATGCAAATTAAAACCATAATGAGATACGACCTCACACCTGCTCAAATGGCTATTATCAAAAGACAACAGATAAAAAGCACTGGCAAAGATGTGAAGAGAAGGTAACACATACTATTGATGGGAATGGAAATTGGTGAGAATAGGAAACAGTACAGAGGTTCCTCAGCAAATTAAAAATAGAACTATCATACAATCCAGCAATCCCACTTCTAGGTATATACATCCAAAGAAATGAAATCAGTATCTTAAACAGCTATCTGCCCTCCCACGTTCATTCCATTACTCACAATAGCCAAGATATGGAAATAACATAAATGTCCAATGACAGAGGAATGGATAAAAAAAAGTATGACTCACTCACTCACTGACTCACACACAATCACGAATATTATACAGCCTTAAAAAAAATAAAAAAGATGGAAATCCTGCCATTGACAACATAGATGAACTTGGAGAACACTGTACTAAATAAGCCAGACACAGAAAAACAAACACGGTATGATCTCACTTACATCGAGAAACTAAAAAAGTCACATTTATAGAAGCAGAGAGTACAGTGGTAGTTTCCAAGGGCTTGCAGGTGAGAGAAATGGGTAGATATAGGTCAAAGGGTACAAACTTTTAACTGTAAGATGACCAAGTTCTGGGAGAATGATGATGAATAATGTAGAGCATGGTGACTCTAGTTAATAATACTGTACCGCATATTTGAAATTTACTAGGAGTAGATCTTAAATGTTCTTATCACACACCAAACAAAGGCAGTAACTATGTGAAGCAATGGATGTTTTAATTAGCTTGACTGTGGTAATCATTTCACAGTGTATACATATATCAAATCATCACACTGTACACCTCAAATATATACAGTTTTTATTTGTCAATTATACCTCAACAAAGCTAGGGGGAAATATTAAAAAAAGGAATTATCTGGTTTAATAAACTTACTTTTCCTCTCAGAATTTTTTTCTCTAACCAAAACTCTAAAAATCCCACTTCTCATTTTAAAGATAGAGAAACTAAGACGCCAAGAATTAGTGACTTGCTATAAGTCAAATGTTAAAACTGGAAAAAGAACCCAAGTCTCTTAACTCCAACTACTTTCCAGTATACCTTTTTGTTTCTAAAACTCCTTTATGGTACCGTTTGGAAAATAATTTGACCTTTAAATGTGATAATGCTGGAGAAAAGAACTAGGTTATTCTAACAAGGAATAATGTAACCACACATTGCTTCATTCCACCTTCATCAGAAAAAAGACAATCCCAAAAGCAAATTTATAGAATCAGTTATAGGGCAACTCTAGTTGTCAGTCAATGCTCAATCTTATATTAATGCTACTTGTAGTAATCACTTTGTTAGGAACATAAGTATCAATAAAGATAAATAAGCCACAAAGAGCTCATTTATGTCTTCTTTGTTCTGCTTAAGGAAACAATTGTAAAATGTCTTTAGAAAATGCTTCATCAAATATTTAATTTTTTAGTAACGCCAAAGTTAAAATTAACGATGGGGACTACTCACAAAAGTTCTCTTTGTGGTTAACTGGATAAATAAGGAGTTATTACTGTCGGTAGGTGGTAGGTATTTGATCTTTAGTGACACTAGGCAGCAAGCTGTATCAGCTTATGAAATATTCAGATATTTAATTCTCATGGCTTGGAAGAAAATTTTGGACACTGACCTTGCCACACAATAATAGGTTTCACTAGTTTCTTTAACTCATCCTTATTTTTGGTGAGCCATCATTAAGGTGCACCATGGTGGCACTTCATTAAGTTACAAACATCCACAGTGCAAACCCACAAATTGCAGTGATAACTTGTTAGCTCTTGGGAGGACTGAATTAACCTAGCACTAGTTGCTGAGACAATCGAGACCAGTCTCTGCTTACTGATTCCTGAAGCATTCATTACTTTACCACCATGTGTAATTAATTTTTAATATTCATTGAGAAAAGTACCTCCCACTATGATTCAAGGACAGCACAGATTCTAGAGGAGAAGAGGGCCAGACACAATCAAGTTCATATCCTTGAGTCCTCGGCAAGGATTTCTCTCTCTCACTTGCTCTCTCTCTCTCTCTCTCTCTCTCTCTCACATACACTTACATTGTTCTGTAAAAACAAATGAAGAAATATGACCAATTCATATATATTCTATTCTGGTTACATTCACCATCCTGTATCCTACATGTTTAAATATTCTGAAAATGTCAAAGCATATCCTGGCACAGTGTAACAGTGCTGTTGAAAAAACAGAAACCCTATTCTTTAGTAATTCTATTAGCTCAGAAATCACGGGTGATCACCAACATCAGAGTCTTTTTGAGTTAGGAGCAACAAGATAGTTTTGTGGAATAAACACTGTATCTGGAATCAGATGATTTGCACTTCGAATCCACTTTCTTGATAAATGAACATATACATTGCATAGTATATAATAAGCACTAAAATGCTTCCCTCCTTCCTACCTGCAGCTAGAGGCACAGCATAACATAGGGGAAGTTACTGAGGTATTCCTAAACCTATCTCCTCCTGTTATTTGCCTCAATAGCATTCTTTTGAAGTAAACAACACTGCTTAAAGGTATCTGCCATGGTTGTTCCTACTACATTTAAATACTAGAACAGTATTTTTCTCTGTAATTGTTCATAATGTAAGCAAAGTCCTTACTTTCTTCAGAATTACTGCTAACCTATTACAATTTGTTTTGCAGAATAAACATAAATCTTATTCTCTTAGAATTAGCTGGGTGATGGGCTGGATCATGGTCAGTTTATGGGGTCCAAATAAGGGATAGAGAGAAAGAAAGGGAAGTAACTTCTGGCTCTTCCATCAGTTCCTTAGGCTTTCCATACCAATAAATGAGTACTGTTCTCTCTTTCCTCCACTTTTGGCAAATTCTATTAAGAGACTATCAGTCTCAAATTCAACCTCTTGTTAAAATACAAAGTATAAAGGACAGAAACAGCATCAGAAATTTATCATTTAATAACAAAATTATATATTAAGGCAAAAGACAACAGTGCCTGGCACAGGTGCTGTGGAAAAGCCTATCTTGGTGGTGGTGGTGTTCAGGAATCTCAAGCTCTGGAAAAAAGAATGAACTAAAATTAAGACTATCATGGTCGTTAGTATGTATTACTTGGCAGAATATTAGCTACATGCGAAAGTTTTGATGAAACAGGTTTTTAGAAACTTGTTTAAATTTCAGACTTAAAAAAATCTTCTCTTATGAGTCATTTATTGGACATTGCCATTTATTTCCATTGTTATTCATTGCCATAGAGTCCAATTATTTCTTTGTTTTCTTATTCACATTTAGTCTGTATTATCACCAATAAAAACCACAAGGATGCCATTACTTTTCACCATTTACCAATGCCTAACTCCTAATTTGCATTAAATCCTTGAAGAAATGTATCCTGCAGTGAATGACATATCCTTCTATAAAAAGTACTGTAAATAATGAAATAATTTTTAGCTCAGTATAAAGATATAAAATGAGTGTGTATATACACTCAGTATACACACACAAAGCTACACACATAGTTAAACTGACCAAGATACTTTTATAAAACTTAGGTGTATGATATTCAATATGCTAAGAGTAAGTTAAGGGAGAGGAAGATCATCTTTGAACATAAGACAGTAGTTTGAGAACGACTAACTTCCATAAATTCACTTATCTACTTTGCTATTCACTCCCTGACCTGCAAATCTCATGCACCATAAGCGATGGCAAAAACTAAATCATTAATGCTGCCGATCCTTAGTGTAAGTTCTCAAAGGCCTAAAACCTTTCCCAAAAATCAGTATTTGAAACCTGTCATTTTAGAAAAAACAAAACAAAGACACTTTTAACTATTTTTACTCAAGTATAGGAAAACTTTGAAACAAGTTCCTCTAAGCACTCTAAGAAAACTCATTTTAAAAGAGAGGGCCATGAGGAGGGCCTGATTTCTAAGAATATCAGCCTGAGAAGTAACTTTATACAAAGAGAATGTCTGAGCATCTCTAAAAAGGGGAAAAAAGTAATTAAAATGTTTCATTCCACAAACTGAGCATAGTGTAAAAAAAGACTCAAAAAGGAAAATTTAATGAAAAGATTGAAACACTGAAAGCAAATTAATTTGATTAAAACACAAAGACATACACACATTGTATGAAGTCATTCAATATTACATGCTAACTGGCTTTGTATTTTCTTTTAAAATGTAATCACAACTTAGCATAAAACAATAAAGCTCTCAAGATAACCATAAAAAATTCTAATCAAATTTCACTCTGGAGTTTGTAATCTGTTAGCATAGTAGGCCTAAATAAATGTTCTGTTAAATCAGGGATCAATGCATGCTATTCTCCATAAAAGAGCCATATAAATTACAAGCTCTTCCATGCTTTTTCAACTAGATTTAGTACTTAAAAATAAGCAGTATTCTCCATTCAGAGTTCTCTAATGCAACTCCTTTTATATCTTTTAGAATTTATAATTCATCCTAGTGCTCAATCTTAAACACACACACACACACACACACACACACACAAAAGGATTTGCAATTGCTACTTACTATCTTATCTTGCACAGTAAAATTGTGAGTATTTGTTCTGTTTCTAAATCCACAGGTTTTGCTCTGAGGTTTCAGAAAGAAGCAACTTTATTTTCTTTTGGTTATTACTCATGATTTTAGCTTACAGATGATTAACTTTAACACTAACATCCTGCTATATTCCCATTTGAGTTGTTCTATTTATCTCAAAGGTAGACTTTATGTATTACCATTACAAAAAAATAACTATTTGCATAATACTTTATGATTTTACATCTATTACAAACACATCACAGGGAGCCTGAGGATGCATTCAGCAGCTTGTCATTCACCACTTCAAGACCCTTCAGAACCAAACAAGGGGGAGGGTGACATTTTGCTAAATGGCAGAAGTAGAGAAATGAATATAAATAACAAACCTTGAAGTTTTAAAAATACAATAGAAATTTAAAAAATACAAAAATATGATTCACATGTATAAACGAGATAGTTTTAATTTGTAGAAGTCCATATCCTCTATATAGAGCAAGGTTATTAAAAGACTTACGTATCTTATGATACCGTTTCAAATTATCTAAAACTGTGCTACAAAAATAAAGAAAATTGCCATCTCGTTTAATTTTATAAATTAATATATTAAAACTGATTGCACCAATTACAGAATTCAGCTCTTCCTCAGCTTTATGAAATAACCTGAGTATCATTTCTTTATTATTATAGCCTAACCCTAAATATGCATATTAAGAATGTTTAAGAGGGAAATAATAATGATCTGACATGTTTAGAAATTACGTTGTTTCATAATTTCCTCTTGGTAAAACAATTACAAAGAAAAGTATTTGAAGCTTCTGTATTTTCTTCCATCACCACCAGTCCAGGAAAAAAAAAAAAAAAAAAAACGAATGCTCAGTTATGTCACCTCCAGTCCAAATGCTCATAGCACTTGAAGCTTTCTGTAAACAATATGCCTCTGTACTAAATACATATCCCTTGAGCCACCATCTACCTAATTTAACATTTTTAAATGTAGTTTCATATGCAGCATAACACCATCGTAAATACACACACACACACACACACACACACACAGAGGAGTGTGCAAAAAAGGAAGGAGGTGGAGAGCAAGAAATGGAGCACGATGTTGTTTTTCATTCATGCAGTATAGTGATGTCAGTGTCTGCAGCAGCAGCGGCGGCGGCGGCAGCAGGAGCCTTGACCTGTAGAGGCTAAAATCCACTGAAGTCAGAACCTCGCAGAATTCAAAAGAAACTGAGTAGATACTGTTTGAAAAATTGTTCAACTGTTCATAGTACGGATTTTAAACGGCTAACTAAACAGAATAGATTAGTTGCACAGTTTTAATTTGGGTAGAGAGGGGTAAGGCAGGATGTGAAGTAACATAAAGGTAATATAATCAGGGAACTGAGGGCTGAAGAGCCTGCATTCAAAATCCCTTAAATCTAAGGAGCTGACAAAACCACCTGGTGTTAAAAACAGCAGAAAAGCCTCTTCTCTTCCCAATGTAAGCTCTCTGGTGATGCAAATCTGTCTGCTGCACAACCAGACTCAGAAAAGTGTTTTCATCATTATTACATTAAAACTGAATTAAACTCGGATGTACCACACTACAACAAAGAGGATAGTTTAAGCCTGATCACAAATTTCATTAAAACTACTTTACTAGGGACCATGTAATTCTTAAGCAATTAAGACTTTTGAAAGATGCAGAAAAACAAGTTGTACTATGATGTGTTGTAAGATGTTAGTGTTTATCAACAAAAGGGGAGGAGGCACTACATAGCCATTATATTGTTACAGCAACTACTCTTACTCTGCCCACAAAACCCTCTGTACACAATCAGTCTGAAATGGTTATTTTATGGCTGTTACATTAGCCCCTAAAAGAAAATCCCAAAACTCAATCTATGCACTGTTGAAGCTAAATCACTCAAAAATTTCTCTAACTGCTGCCTTCTATTCGTTCTTTTACTACTCATTTCATATAGCTCCAGAAAATGTGTAAGGGAGCTGCATATGGCATTAATCTGTTAGAAAATGGTGGCCTTTTCTATAAAATACAGCCAAAGATGTGTGTTCAGTTGTGGTCATTATTAGGGCGATCACGTTGTTTTCATTCATTCATTCAGGATTTGCTGGAGGATGTCAGTTTCTGCAGCAGCTGGCTTGACCTGGGGGAGGAGTGGGGGAGCAAATTCCTCCTGGTGCATACAGATTACAGGAGCTATTTCTTGGTGCTCATGTACACATACCACTGCACTACATCCTACTCTGCCATACCATCAAGTGGTCTGAAAACAAGTGCCTTAGCAACATGCTAATTACCGGCCAGAAATGTTAAAAAAAAAAAAAAAAAAAAAACTAAAACTGCAATCTATCACAACATAATCACTTTCTCCAAGTCTAAGACATTCATTAAAAAAAAAAAAAAACTCCATTAAAAAAAAATTCCACATACCACATAACCGTACGAGCTCCACAGTGTTTCCCTTCCACGCAGAGAGTTTTCCACTCAGTATGATCAGTTGTCTCCACAATACTGCAGCAGGAGCAGCATCTGTAGCTCTAGCCTGGTATCTAATTATATTAGCTACTCCACTCTCCCTTATGAGCTTTAAGTCCCTGTTTTGGCTAATCTTCCTTTTCTCCCCCAGGACTCAACTAGATCATGCACTGTATCCCCAGACATAAACAAAACCAAACCAAAACAGAAAACATTAAGGGAAGCCTAGAGCATCCACTAGCTCACCACTACCTTTGACACCTAACAAAAAAGAAACTTGAGATGCTTTAACAGCTCAACTGAACTGTTAAGTGTACTTAAAAATGGAAGGAAAAAGTGAGCACACTCCACAAACAGGTCTTTAGAAAATTACCATGAAAATCTTGAGTTGGGCATTGACTATTTCCAGTGAAGTACTGCTCTGATGCATATGACTATATTAAGTAGAGAAAAAAGGGAGACGGGGAAAAAGAAAAAAGAAAAAAACACTATACACTTCAATTGCATACCCAAAACTGTCTCCTCTACACATCCAACAGATAATCCTTACATCATAACTAATGCCACCACCCTTCCAAAAAAGAAAAAAATATATATATGCCAGTAATCACAGACACGTTAGGAACTTTGTAGGAAAGCACAAAGAGCTTGTAGATTACAACCAGCACCTTATCGGCTGCCAGAGTTTGTGTGCGTGTATTTTTAAGTGTTTCGCCCAGCTCCTCCTTCCCCGCTACCAACAGCAAACACATGAGTGAGCTAATCAGCTCTTAAACTGAAAAACCTTTCGATGCAGGCGAGTGATGGAAGATAAAATCTGAGGGGCGGCATGTGGGTCAAATAAAAGTTGTTTTGCAGTTCGCTCCTCCAAGCCCCGCAGCGACCGCAGGAAGGTGAGATTCCCAAAGCCACTTTCACACCTTCGATAATGCACTAGCAAAGAGAAGCCCGGAGAGGCTGAAGTTTCCACGGAGGGAACCGTCGGGGAAGACGCAGCCCGGGAGGACGGAAGGGTTGGGCTCGCTACCTCTGCACGCGGGCGAGCCGGGGCTCCGTCTCTCAGGTGAGTTGCTCCTCCGGTGGTTCTCGGGGGACCGTCTCGGGCGGCCCTTGGCCCGCGGCGTCGGCTCGGTCGGGGCCGCGGCCGGCTGCAGCGTCGGGCTGGGCGGACTGGGGCCGCGGGCCGCGCC